ATGGAAAATATATTTTAATTTTTTAAAGTTTTTCTAATTAAAAAAAAAAAGATTTTAATTTTACATATTTTAAAATTCATTATAAAAATCATTAAAATTTCCATTCAAAAACCAAAGTTTATTTTAAAATTTATTTTCATTTCATCACATGCCTCAACTCTAAACGCAACAAAATTAAATTTATCCACGTAAATAAATGGATTTTTATTTAAAAATTTTTACACCTGCCAGAAAATTTAATTTAAATTTTATTTAATTAAAAGAATTCCTTTTAAAATATTTTATTTAAAGTTGATTCTCCAATAAAGTTGAATTTGAATAATTTTAATAAATTAATTATTTACTTAATTATAAACACGTAAATTTCAATGATATACTTATATATCCAACTCACTTAATTTATACGGCTAAATAAGTTTTTATCTTCCTTTTATTCTTAAACGCTTCCAATCATCAGGATAACGCATTTCCTTCCTTATGTTTTTAACTCTTTCAACTAGTACGGCTCATATTAGTACTGCCCAATTTTTACACCTGCCGGAAAATTTAAATTAAATTTTATTTAATTAAAAATTAATCCTTTTAAAATATCCAACTCACTTAATTATTCATTAATATTAAAATTTTTAACCCTCTAAATATCAGTACTGCCCCCGTTTAAAAATATAAAAAATAGTAATAATCTGTCAAAATTTATCATACTCCCTATAATAGATAAATTCAGTTTAGGCTTACTTTGAGCGACATGTTTATCTATGTACCTCTTTAAGACAATTCAGGAAATTAAGGATGGGATGAGACTGATCCAGAGATCTCTACAATGTTAGGTAGAGATCTCTACAATGTTAGTACCTCAAGGTAGTGTCCTAGGACCTCTTCTATTTCTTATTTTTATAAATGATCTTCCAAATCAAATCCCTGAAAACATTGGAATAAAATTATATGCAGACGACGTAAAACTATATGTAGCTCATAAAAATGGCATAGAAAGGAATGAACTTAATAAGGCTCTATGGATACTTGAAAAATGGACAGAATTAAATGGTTTAGAAATATCTCGTCATAAGTGCTTTGCCTTATATCTAGGAAAAAATAACCTAAAAAGAGAGTATAACATTCATGGATTAAAAATACAAGAAACAGATTGTATTCGCGATCTTGGAATTTTAATAGATTCTAAAATGTCTTTTAATAATCATATAAATATGATTATAAAAAATGCATATCTAAAAAGTTATCAGATAACAAGAATCATTAAATCTAGAGATTTAAATCTCCTTGTTAATATATATAAAACTTATATAAGACCCCAGCTAGAATATGCAACTGAAGTATGGAATCCACACATGAAATATCAAATAGAGAAAATTGAAAGAATTCAAAAATTATTCACTAAAAATATTTACAAAAAATGTGGATTAATCAAGGTCCCATATGAAGAAAGATTAAATACCTGTAAACTCGAAAAGTTAATAGATAGAAGGAAAATTGCCGATCTTTCCACCGCTTTTAAAATTATAAAAGGGTTTACATCTCTTAATTCCCAAAAATATTTTAATTTTTCAAATAGATCACTTCGCAGGCCCCTACTTTTAAGGATTAAAAAACACACAAATAGAACAAAAAATAATTTTTTTCATAGAGTGGTAAATAAATGGAATAAACTTCCAAATGAATCATTTAAAATAAATGATCCCAAAAAATTTAGAAGTTTCATTAAAGTATCAGAATCTAAATAAAATTCTAGTAAAATTAACCTTGAGCGTTATTGGTGGTTTTTTTTAAGGTATAATATTAAATTTATCTATGTTTACTTTTCATTTTTTAATACATATAATTTTTTTTTTTGATGTTGTTTCATACATATATATATTTTTTTTTTGACATTAATTTATTTTTATGTTTTTTTTTGCACCACATTAATGTATTTTAAAATACCTGTGGTTTGCTGATAAATAAATAAATTATGGAAAAAAAAAAAAAAAAAAAAAAAAAAAAAAAAATAATTCCCTGGATTTTCAAATTTGAAACAAATTTCAATGTGAGAATACTCCATTTTAGCTTCTTGTTTATTAGCCTTTAATGAGGTCGAGTCGATAAAATTAACTTTTCCATGTCTTTCTCTTTTTAAAATTTTTCTAGGCCCAACAGGATTCAAAAACCATATAAATCTAGTTAATTTATTAGGGTTTGATGGATTTGTCAATAAAGATGTATATATCCCTTGTATTTCTATATCCATAATTTGATTATTATACTCATCGTATCTTAAATTAGCAACTTTCAATTTATTTACTTCAAACCCAATTTGTGCAGAAATCAAAGGCTCTACAGTTATTAGAATCTAAAAATGGAATAAAATTTAAATAATTTTTAAGTACTTTTATCCAAACTAGGACACGGATACTGGTTTTGGTATCCGTCTCCGGATATTTACGGCGGATACAGACGGATACAGACGAATATATACAATATCTGTATCCATATAATTATCCATGTCCTAGTCTTCTTTTACCCTCTCCACAATTTCTGTTCCATTATTTTCATTTAGAACGATCCTAATGTCAACTACTTCTAAAAAATTGAATAATAATTCAAATAACATTAATTTTTTTCCTTTATGTCCACCAACTACACTTTTATTAACTGAAAATTCTCCTATAAGTAAATTTTGAATGGGAGCTTTCATAAATAAGGAAATTTTATCTTTCTCAATTTTTTCATCAATTTCACACAAAATTTCAATTTTACTTTTTATTTTCCCATCTTCAACTCTTTTAGTAGTAAATTCCATTCTTAATAAAATTACTTTAGAGGATCCATCCTCATTTTTATTATCCTCTGTAGAGGTAATCAAAAATCGTTCATTAATTTGTAAATTTGAAGAAGAAAGAGCAAACAAAAGGAGAAAATAAATAATTTTATTTTTCATTGAAAATTAAAGTTTTTTTTAAATTTTTAAAATAAATATTTACTTTTAAGCCCAATAATAAATTAATTTTCTTTTATACTTGCACTTTTCTTGACATTAAGAAATTATTTTTTCTCATTTGATAGACTGTCCTTTGATTAGATTTTTATTCTATTACCAAATTAATTTGTCTATATTGGGAAATAATGCCCTTTATTTTGTTTATTTTTGCCTAAATATTATTGCACTTTTTGTTTACAAAATTATGTAATTTTAGACTAGTTTGGATCATGCGTCCCATGATATTTTAAGCGTCCCATGAGCTTAATTTTTGTTTTGATTTAAATATTTTTAACTTATTGTAATTTCAAACTTCCATCTTTCTTACCCGATTTCAAGCCTTCTTGTCAATTTTAAAATTATTCATTATGAAATAGTTAAATCATTTTTCCTTTAATCGGTTTCTATTTTGATATTTCAGAGGTTTTCGATTTCGAAGTACTTTTGTTTCAAAAAAGTTCTACTCCGAAATCAAAACATTTGCTTAATTCGGCTGTGTCCACATTAACGTAATTCGATGCCTTAAGACCGAAAACTTTCTAAGACTCAAGAACAGAAACTTTAAATTTCCTCAGTAACTTCAAATGTAAAATACATTTAAAATATAAGTTTTAAAATATAAGTAAAAATAAAAAGAAAGTAGATCCATATCTATACAATTATGCGGCTCAGACCTTTAGGTCTGGCGCACCTTCAGAGCGCCGGTTTGGGGTTTGGGATTGGGTGAGGAGGCGCAGAGGACCTATGATTGCCTAAGTAGAAACAGAATAAATTAAAATATTTATTTAATATTTGAAATATATAAGTTAAATGAGTTTATTGTAGTGTTCGGCACGGTACGGTATACCGCGGTATTTTTCCCGGTATACCGCGGTATTTTTTTCCGGTATACCGATACCGATACCGTACCGGTCAAATTTTGAAAAAAACGGTATTTTTCGGTATCGGTATTTTTTCGGTATACCGATACCGATACCGTACCGGTCCTCGAAAAAATACCGCGGTATTTTCCGGTATTTCGGTATTTGTGAAATTCTCAAAATTTTCGCCTGCGGCGCTGAAAAAGGAAGAAATCTGTCTTCTGGTCTTCCAAAATTCTCAAAATTTTCGCCTGCGGCGCTGAAAAAGAATATATAGGGACATTCTATTAGAGGGGGCATTGTATTTTTCAATTATCCTGTTGGGGCATTCTATTAAAGGAGGATATTCTAATGGTGGGGGCATAGTAATTTTCAATCATCCTACAGGGGACATACTATTAAAGCAGGGTATTCTAATGGAGGGGGCATTGTATTTTTCAATTGGCTAAATGTCGAGCAATTGTTGGACATTTTGCTGATTCAAATCTTGCCTATGATCGATTAGAAGAAGCTCAAGTCCTTGAGATTGTTAAGATTTATTGTTAAGATTTTAAAAATAAAATTTAAAAAATTTTATAAAATTTTTTAAAAAATACCGAATACCGGCCGGTATACCGAAAATGTTGAGACGGTATTTTCCGGTATCGGTATTTTTCCGGTATACCGATACCGATACCGTACCGGTCAATTTTTGTAAAAAACGGTATTTTTCGGTATCGGTATTTTTTCGGTATACCGATACCGAATACCGGAAAAGGTCATTTGCCGAACACTAGTTTATTGTTCATTAGAAATAATGGAATAGTAGAAGTGTGAGATTGAGGATCTGTGACATTATTGGAAAAGGATCGATATGTCCATATCCGTCCGTATCCTGATATATCTGAGGATATCCGGATATTATCCGTGTGAAAGGCAGGAAGTTTATTTAAATATAATAGGGAAAAATGAAAGAATATTAGGTAATTTAATTAAAAATAAAGGGATTTTAACTGAAAAAGGAAATAAATAATTTATATTATTACCCAAATTTTCTTTACTTCGATTATTTTCTTTTAAAATCATCATTTATTAATTTAAGGCTTCTTGGTTGAAGTCGCTCGCTAATTAAATAAAAATTAGAATGTAAATACTATCTTAACTGAGTTTTCAGAATAAAAAATTCTTATTTATTTTACCTTCATAATTTCCAAAACTGAAACCAATTCATGTTTAACTTGACCCAATAATTTGGCAATAGTTCCAATTAATGGATAAATGCCTAAAAATTTAAAATTAAAATATTTAATTGGAGTAACAATATTTACAGCGATTGGTTATTGTGTGAATACTTTAATTTATTCTGGACCGGGATAGAATATTGCTTAACCTGATAAATTTCGTTCGAGTTTAGAGGTAGTACTAGAGGGAAAGCATTTTTATAAATGTGTTATGCTGATCGCTAATGAAATAAAATCTCCCGTGATAGGTGATACTCAGCTTCTTTTAGCTGACTACCGACTAATTAACAAATAACCGCTTCCTATTATTCTTCCACTGCCTTAACTTGTATTTTAAATATTACCATATTTACTTCCCGAACATTTTCCATTAAAATCATCAAAATCCAAGGCCCAAACAAAAGCCCCTCCAAATCCTTGGCTACTCAACCATTTTATTTTTTGTAAGTAGCTTTGCTGATTGTCATAGCTAAACCATTCACCATTTTGATAGAGATAAGGAACTAGAGCATTTGGATCATAAAAATCCTTGGCACCCTTTGCTAGCATTTCGCAAATCTTGAAAAATTTGAAAAAAATATTTTTGATTAAGAAAAAAAATGAAATAAGACAATGTAAGATCAACAGGGATGGGACTCATACTTCTCCAATGTGGCGACATTTAATTATAAATTCTCACCTCAAAATAAGCTGCAACTCCAGGTTCTTGAGCAAATTCTGTCGCATTAGCAGGACCTGATGCGGGGGCACCAACACTTAGGTCCTTGCTATTGGGATTTGCCAATTTGAATCCATGCGCTAAATTATATGTTTAGACCGATTTTTATTTTAATTTAGATTCACCATAAGTAGGAAATCCAATAATTATTTTATTTCTGGGCATTCCACCGCGAACCCAATAATTTGCAGCATCGATCTAGATATAGAGATTAAATTATCCAATATTGAAAATTTAATAAAAAAATATAGTCAGACTTTATTGTTAGATATATGTATATTGGGGCTAAAATTTTGTGTTATAATGAGAGGTATATTAAATATTGCGGTTAGGTATCTTGTAGTGTAGTTCGGCATATTAAACTGTCTCTTACAATATTCAAAGAGTCATTAGTTCTTAAAGGAGAGTTGTATCCTGTTTTGTTCTCAGAAGTTATATGGAAGTCATAAGTCATAAGATTGATGAAATCAACGTATCTTGAAAGAAATTTTACATTTAAGAGTTTATTTATATTATTATACTAGCGTTAACAACTCGGGCTGTATTGTACTTGGGCGGTATTGGACTATGTTGGAATTATAAAGTGGTCCCAACATGAATTACTCGAACTTTCAATGTTTGAGCGACAAACATGGGCTATTGAATTAAGCCCTAGTATTAGAAGATTGAAAAACGTTTAAGGAGGAATGGGTTATTTAATAAATAAATCTGTAATAATTTAATAAATAACTTTGCCATCGTTGCTATGTCATAAGATTTTTTTACAATATCAATTCCAGCTGCAACTGCTGCAGTAATTATTAACTTATTTTTTACATTCTTTTCATTACAAGATGCCAAATGAAATTCCTGAAAGATTGCTAAATGTTAAAAAGTTGTTGCATTTATTTAATTGAATCATTTAATTTTTCCTTTTTACCTGCAAAAGTAAATTAAAATTTTCTTTTGAATCTGGATATTCGTTATCTAAGTCTATTCCATCAAAACCATGTTTCCTAACAAAAGCAATTGACGATTTGATAAACTTTTCTCGATTCTGTTTGCTTCAAAAAATTTACTTTTAATTTAAACATCTTTTATAAGCACCTTGAAGTCATATTTTGAAAGAGTGTGGTAGTTGTGCTAAAAGTCCAACCTCCAAATGACATAACAAATTTAAGGTTTGGATCATATTTCTTAAATAATTTAGGTAGATTATTTAATATTATTCCTTATTAATAAAATTAATAAAATGTATCAGTAATTTTTGGCATGTTTCAGACTTGCCGAGAAAACAAGTAGACCATTGGTTAATGATTGTGAACTAAAGTTCGTGATAGAAGTTGGAAAAAAATTCCCAGTTGGGCCCCATGCTATCCTTTCTCTGGCCTAAAATTTTCATAATTCTTTCCGTGTATCATAGTGAAAGAGATAAACGTTTAGCACCGGTTAGGCATTTAGCACTGGACCTTCTGGGCCTGTTTTATAAGAAGTGATCAATTGAATGCTTGTTTGACCTTTTTCTTGATTTTCTAAAATTTAACATTTCTACCTTTAAGGCGACAACTCGAGCATATTGTCCCAAAGGATCTGAGTCATTTGGTAAATCGTTAGGATCAATTGCGCTTAAGTTCAAATTATTATATTTTAAATTTAAAAATTTTTCCTCTCACTATGCTTCAAAGCTTTCATTAAAATAAGCAAAAGCATAAAATATATGTGTGCAGAGCCCCGGTGCATAATCCTCTGGAGCGAATTTTGCACGACCACTTCTATATATTGCCCAATTTGTGAAATAACAAGGACGAATAAATCTACCTTTAATTATTTTTTTTGGATTTTAGTTTAATTTATGAGTTCCAACAATCTATAGATTTTCTTTAGTTTTTAAAGTTGAGCTAGGGTTCTTCAAAGTTTTTTTTTGTTAGAAACTGATAATTGGGTTGTTCATCTGTTAGATTATTTATATTATGTATTTTGTTTAGCTATAGTCAAAATTAAAATTTTTAGGCATCAATCATAACTATCAGGAATTAAAATGTGCCAAAATAGAGACCAATTTAATATTGCTTTTAAAAATAAAATACTCAACCTTTATTATCAGAAAGATCAACTCTATCAAATTGACAAATTCCAAATTGGAATAAAAACGAAAAAATTATAAATAAATAAATTTGCATTTTCTGTTTAATTGAATTTAAAAATAAATAAATTCGGACATTGGACAACTTTGTCCGATAAATAAATAGGACAATGTTGTATAATGAATATAAATCTTTGTTATGTATGTAAAGCCGTCTAGGTTTCTCCCAGCCTAGCCAAAAAAAGTAAAAATGGTGTGATGTCGATCAGTTAGCAACCTAACATTGTAGAGATCTCTGGAATTCTACTTCTCCAGACAATATACCTTATATATTACTTAAATATTGCGCTGATTCACTTGCAGAAATAATCACAGATATATTCCGATGTATTATTGATAATGGGCAAATTCCATCAATTTGGAAATCTTCACTTATTATACCTTTGTATAAAAAAGGGGAAAAATCAGATCCAACTAATTATCGTCCAATATCGTTAACATGCACCCTATGTAGGATTTTAGAAAGAATTATCGCAAAACAATTAATAAAATACCTAGAAGATAAAAAGTTCTTTAATCAAAATCAGTTTGGGTTTCTTAAATCAAGATCCACAACAACACAGTTATTATCCACAATGGATGATCTCTATAACGCAATACAAGATGGATATAACATAGATATCATTTACATCGACTTTGCTAAGGCATTTGACACTGTACCGACAAATATTCTTCTAGATAAGATAGTAAAAGCAGGCATTAGCGGAAAAGTCTATACATTTCTTAAAAATTTTCTATCTGATAGAAATTTCAAGATTAAGATTGGTGCCCAAATATCTTGCGAATATGAAACATTCTCAGGTGTATTTTATAATTGTCGCGAAACAAAATTGTGAGTGTTGGCTTCAATTCGACGTTAAAATTAAAAAAGCAAATGAGGAAAGATGTGTGTCCAAAATGTTTAAGAAAATGAATGATTTAGAGAAGGATTTATTGAAAAGTTTTAGACAATTCATTTCAATGTGGATATTAAAAACAGAATTAGATAATTATGAGGATGGCCAGATAACGGTAAATAATGATGAATCGTTAGAAAATAATCCTGAACTGGCATTAGTTGCCTCAATAACTCCATTGCTGACTCTTGGAAGTTATGAATTTTATTTGGATAAGGAAGGAGTAACTAAAGAAAGAGTGAAAATTGTTGATTCTAAGAAAAAATGACAATTTTAAGGCTATAAAGAAGAAGAAAATCCAAATATAAAACTTTCTAATAAATCTTTAATTAAATTTAAAAGAATTTAATTTGTTAAAACTAATTTAAACTTTGATGGGATCTATTTGATCTTGTTTCTATGTACCCTGTTAGTGACTTTACATTTTATTGTCCATTTTTCCTTTTCACAAGTAAATATTTCCTCTTGAAGTTCTAATTTGTGTTAAAATTAATTTCCCCAAACTGTTGAGGGTGAGTGTACATTGTTACGGGATTTTTGAAAAAAAAATGTGCAATAAGGATTTGCAATAAAGATTGAGAAATGTGCACCAAGGGTTTTAATAAGAATTAATTTAGTATACATAGAATATTTGTGGCGTTTTTTTAAATGATAGAATAGATCTTGATTGAATCTCTTTTGAAGCTAAATCTTATTATTTTGTCTTTTCAACATTATCAAAAATTTCAAATTCAAAAATTTCAAAATTTCACCGTGTGCATTTAACCAAAATATATGGGCAATTATAATCAACATTTCATTAACATTTCATTAACATGAAACATAAATTGAACGACTTGGAGAAAAATCTGAAATTTAAGTTTATACCGTTTTTGGATAATAGAAACCCTTTTTTAAAAAAAAACCTTACGGTTCAGAATGGACTCACGGATTTGCAGATACAAATCCGTGACCTTCAATATAGGTCCGTGCCCTACTATTAATTAATAATCAACTACTAATAATCCAATTGCATTCAGCAATCACTATGTAATTTCAATAAGGTTTATAAATATTATGTTAAAATATTTCTTAGAAATTTTAGTTCAGCGATTTTTATGAGGAATTTTGAATAAATCAAGAATGAGAGTTTAGTGAGTCCCAATAAGATGTGTTTAAATTAAATTTAATTTTACATATTATTAACTTTATCATCAAATATAAAATCACTATTATTTTTACATTCATTATGCCATTCTTTCAATTCAATAATATATTCTCTCTTAATTTCTTTTAATTTTTCCAAACTACAAATATTTCCGCAATCGGGAATTTCAATTTCCCGAAAAACATTTCCATCAGTCTCGTTTTTATGGAAAAGTCGAATAAAAAATGTTGAAGTGTTTTCTTCTAAATCTTCAGATTTATTTTCTTGTTTATGTAATTCAATTAGTAAAGCAGTTGAAAATTTCGGAAATACCTGAATTTTTTAAATCTTCATTATGTTGATACATTTCTTATATGTTGGGCTTGAGATCTACTGTAAAATTTTATATCGAGTTTGCTCTCTAGGATAGTTAACTCAACTCAATGATTTTCAAAAATTATATGCATATTTTTAAGGTTCAAAAAGATTGAATGGATAAAAGATTGAATACTTCAATAGTTTTACCCAGACCAGGCCATGGATACGGATAATATCCGGATATTCTCGGATATATCAGGATAGGACGAATATGGACATATAATAAATATTGAAGAAATTTTAAATTTTTCAAAGCTCGGGTTAGGGTATAGACTTCGAAATCGAAAACCTCTGAAATATTGCAATAGAAATTGATTAAAGAAAAAATGATTTAACTATTTCATAATGAATAATTTTAAAATTGTTGTCGGGAACGCCCGAGAACTGAGACTCGGGCGTTCCCGGGTGAAATAAATTCCTTTTATTTTTTATTTATTAATTTTTGGTCGGTGTGTGCGAACAAATGAATCACACACAAACAAATCAATTCTCACTCCCTTTTTATTTTTTGTTTAAAAAATTCTTTCTTTTTTATAAAAAATAATTTTCTTTTATTTTTAGCCTTCTTTGGCCTACAATCTTTTCTCCTCATTTTGTAACAACAACTTTCTCACAATATTTTCGTAATGTAAATAAGTTATTT